TCACTAACTTCCCAACTGTTAGTATCACTAACTTCCCAACTGTTAGTAATGTTAACTTCCCAACCATTAATAACATTAACTTCCCAACCATTAGTAACACTAATTTTCCAACTGTTAATAACATTAACTTCCCAATCATTAATAACACTAACTTCCCAACTGTTAGTAACACTAACTTCCACACTGTTGGTAACACTAACACTAACTGGGAAGTTAAATGGATCTGGCTTCCCCACTGACTTTGTTTGTCACAAGGTCACAAAGAGTGATCAAACAACCCCAGGGCACTGCAGTTGTCATAAATACGAGTCAGTTCCCAAGCGTCTGAATTCTGATCATGTGATCAGGGAGATGCTAAAAGGGTGGTAAGTGTGAAAAATAATCTTAAGTCATCTTTTTCATGCTATTGTAACTTGAAACCGTCATTAAATCAACTGTTGTAAGTCAAGAATTAGCTACATCTAGTTCTCTACCTTCTCACTAAATGGGGTGGAACTCCATCCAAAGGGGAAAAAATCTAAAGGACCAGGTCATAAAATTGGGTGTGACTTACTTAACAACTGCCTTGCTTAGCAATGGAAATTTTGGTCCCAACTGTAGCCGTCATTTGAGGACTACCAGTGTTACATTTTGATGACTCTCAACTGCCAGGTTCATGATGCAAACTGAGTGGCCTAAAGAGGAAGTAAATAAATTGTTAATAAGCCAACTATTTTTTTTTTAATGCAGGTCCCCCACCGTTACTTTCAGCCCTTTGGCTTTGGCCCCCGCGGCTGCGTTGGGAAGTTCATTGCGATGGTCATGATGAAGGCCATCCTGGTGACCCTCTTGAGAAGGTGCAGCATCCGTACTCTGAAAGGCCAAGGTCTTAACCACATTCCCAAAAACAATGACTTGTCTCTGCATCCCAACGAAAGCCAGCCGCTCCTGGAAATGATCTTCACCCCAAGGAAATCCCTGGGCAAGAACGATCAGGATAAATAAAACCCCATCCAAGCTCGGCTTGCCAAGATGATCTCAGACCTATTTGGATTGGTTGGATGACCCTCATCAAATTCAAAACTCTCACCCCACCCAAGGTGCATCGATCCACTCTCCCGATGAAACATTTCTTGATTAAACCCAACAGTTTTGCTCATTCAAGTGGCCCATTGGTAGAATTCAGGTTCAACACAGCAGGTAATATTTGCACTCTTGTTAGGAATCATTGCGTTGAGGAGGACCCATAAACACCTTTAGAATTGATTCTGCACATACGGAATTGTGACGTAGAGATTTTATTTTGGAAGAAGCCAGATTTCTGCAGGTCTGCGGAGATGAATTGGGCCATGCAGCAGCAGTGGCTGATAGCTGCTGTTGCTATTCTTCCATGCCCGTGTCCATTAGGAAGTAGAAGTGGAGTAGAATGATACAACTTGTTCAGAGCAACAGACCCCGGTTGCAGTCTCAAGAAGAGGCAGTATCTCCATTCTCCATCAAGTCCTCCTGAGTCACTGTGTGGTACAACAAAGCAGAAGAAGCCGAACTTGTTATCTTTGTGTCTTCTGATCATCAATGGAGCCTACATAAGTTTCAAGCATAAATCCCCTTCTTTTTCACTTTTTAAGTTCAATCGCACAACCATTCGACAGAAATGGGACCATGAATAAGAGCTGGCATCTCCTCTAGCTAGTCTTCTCCAGCCTCCCGTCTCTCGCTCTATCACTTTTAGCTGTTCCATCTTACTACCCAACAAAAAAAAATGCAGATAGACACAAACTAAAACAGAGGTCTTCAAACTTGGTAACTTTAAGACTTGTGGACTTCAACTCCCAGAATTCTGGCTGGAGAATTCTGGGAGTTGAAGTCCCCAAGTCTTAAAGTTGCCAAGTTTGAAGACCTCTGCTCTAGAACAAAAGCCCAGGATATCCTCTGTAGTTACCGAGCTGCCATTTTGCATCACCCCACCACTGAGTTGAGCATGACGTGTGAATAACTCTCACCCACCCGAAATGCATCGATCTGCTGCCTTTTTGTGAGTGTTTGGTGGTTTGCTAATTCAAGTGGCCAACTGGTGGAACTCGGGGCACAATGCAAAGGATAGTATTTGTATTGTTGTTAAACCAAATCGTGCTCAAGAGGACCCATAAACACCTTGAGAATTTAGACCACAATTGAGTGAACTTTGGTTACACTGACCCCAAGGAAGCATCAAATGCAAAAGTAGGAAATGAATCATTCCGCATCGGTTGTCTTTGATCTAGCAAGTTTATAATATTGCATTATGCAAATGGACGAAGGACTTGCACCCATGATGTCTTCAGCAACGGTTCATCTTCATCACGCCTGGTTGAGACTTGGGAGCCATGGATGTGCTGGACTTCCATTCTGAAAATCCCCCAGACATGATAGCCACAGCTGTGGATTCTGGGACTTGGTCCACCCCACACATCTGGAAAGAACTCAACCGTGGGACCATTGCATGATTAGATGATCTCCATAATTCTTCCCCATGAAGGTGATTTGAGAAATCCTTGACAAGCCACACATCTCATTAACATCATGGTCACCAGAAATAAACAATGACAGTCACAAGAATGCAAACAAATAATAATTATGTGCCTGGGTTAAATCAAGTCCTCTCTAGCCAACCACTCTCGTCCATGTCGTTTGGCTGCAGCATTTGACACTCCAATTTTGAGGTCCCAAATACAGTGTCCTCCAATAGTTCTCAGAATGTCTATCCAAGGACAGACGCTGATTCTTTGCACTACTACGCTACTGCAAGGGTGAGGAAACGCCAGGTTTCCAGGTGCATCTCAACCACTTGTTCCTAGCAACTTTGCATGACTGTTGGTGAGGAACTACAACCCCGAGCTACAATCTAGGAAAAAATCCAGAAGGCTTCAAAATTCCCCATCTGCAACCCACAGCCAGTCAAGGAGCCTAAACATGTTTTAAAAGTTGAGGAAGGTAAGGAAGATTAATATTAGCTTAAACTGAAAAACGGGTCTCAGGTCAACTGAAGAAAAGAAAAAGCAATATGGATGTCATAATGGAGAGAGTCACAAACTCATCATTCAAGACTCGACTCCTTACTCCCAACCTGGGTTTTAATAGAGGAGAATATCTGTAGCTCAGGGTTGAACTGTAGGGTCCTTGGTACTCTCTGAGCCTTGATTGCTTTCTTGCAGATGTTTCATTACCTAACTAAGTAACCTGTTCTGACCCTCCTCATCCCACACCAACACACTCCGAGCCAAAGATAAGTTACAGCATTTAATTAACAGACAGACAAGTCCTTGGCAGAAAACTGGCACAGACAAG